TTTTGTTTTTCATATTTTCCTCTAAGTTATAAGGCTCCATCCATCTCACAACTTCAACTAAAAGAGACTCAGGGGAAACATGAACATTGTCTTGAGATATCTGAAAAGTTGGCATAAGGATGAGTGATTACACAAATAGTGTGTGGCCCTGGAGAACTGAAGTAAGGCCACAGGAATGAAGTCACTGGAAATCAAGTTTTAGCTCAATGAAGAGCTGAACTATCTCATGTTTGCAGTATAACAGGCAGGCTTAGTATACCAACTCCTCTCCTTGGACGGCTGAAAGCTGAGGCTTGGAAACTTCTTGGAAAATTGAACACTTTCACTGGGTTGGCAGATGTCATAGTTGAAAGCAAAGGTACTCCTAAATTCAGGAATTCACCTTTGATTGTCCCATTAGGTCCACTACCCACAGCCCCTAGCAGTTGGCAACAACAGGGTAATCTCTGTCCTCATTTAAAATTGTGTTACCATAGGCTTTCCCTTCTATTGTTTACCTCTTCCTGGTACTGGAGTTTCTGTTCCTTCTCTGGAGCTAGAAGCTCCTGTCTAGAGAGTTTTTTCAGCCAGACCTGGTATGTTACTTCATGCACTCTAACAGGGATAACCTTCTATAGCTGCCTGTAACCACAACAACATTGACTACAACTTGGCATAGTCATCTGTGACCTCCTGGACAGTAGAATATTTGGCTATTGTTTTCAATTAGGTAATTTTGTTGTGAAGACAGCCTTTGAACTTTGAAACTTGTGAAATTAGATGTGAAGCATCATGGATTGCTTGTTGCTACAAGAGGGAGGATCTGATATTGGAATAAAATTAGTACCTGACTTGAGAATCCTGCCTGAGAGTGGGTCAAGCAGCTGAAAGTACTATATCCCCAAAAGAAGTTGCTATCTATGGTAGCACAGCCTGGTGAGCCTGGCACAAAACCAAAGGCCATAGATGCTTTTTTGTCATAAATCCATCACAATCTGTCAGCACCAGAGGGAGCAATCTGGTGGAATTCATTTAATAGAAGCAAGAAGGGACTGACCATCACAAGCAACCCTATAGATAAGCAGCAAGAACTTAGACATTAAGTAAGGGCTCCAAGCAGGCACTAGGCCTGAATAGAAAATGAGGCAAAAACAGAGTAGCCCATATAAAACAAGGAGTTGAAATGAAGGTTATACTAATAGAGTAAAAACATGGTAAGGGGAAAGATAAGTATCAGAGATTATGCTTGCACCAGGGTTTACCTGAGTGAGGTTAAGCAAATGTTGGGACTAAGGAGGACCACTGCAGTCTTTCCTGGATCCCTGGACCTTGAATTTTAAAGGAAAACTTTATTAAGTCTTCACTGAATGTTGAGACTGACTGAAGAAGCTGTGACATTTTTGTATCTTTGTCAGGATTTGAGCAGGGACTGAACATTCAAGGATTCACTGGTGACAACTGAGGACTATACTGAGAGCTAGGAAACCAAGGTTAGCTCTGTCACTGGAAGTCTTGTGAAAGATAGATACTTTATGCCTTATATTTGTTTGGTTTTTGTGTGATTAGATGCATGTTTTTGTATTTTTATAACTTGGAAGTTATAAGGGAAAAGTGGTGTTGATTTTAGAGAAGAGAGGGAACTCCATGTGAAATGTAACTGTATATTAAGTGAATGGTCTCCAGTGGCTAAGACTAACCAACTCCAGAGGGTACCATTGTAAAACCTGAGAGTTGTTTTGCCTGAGCAAAGCTAGAAGATAGATGGACAGATAATTTGAAAAGATCACATGAATTAATATGTCTGTTCTGGCACTTGCTATACCAGAGAGCTTGCCTTCTCCCAATGGTCACAGTAAAACTAGTTTCTTCAACTCTCTATCTTATATAAAATACCTAGAAAAGCCTACAGTGCTAGAGAAATACATAAGAACTGCAGTTATTAAACTCTCCACTCAAAACCTTTTCTCTTCCTGTCCCTGGAATGAGACAGGAGCAATGTCCCCTCTTTCTGGCTTTGCTCCTGCTTTTTAAAGGCCCAAGTTTCACCACCCTCTCTTCCTTCTCTCTGCTCATTTCTGGCCAGCTGATAGTTCAAACCCAAGCTCAAATGCTAATTCTTCTGCAAAACTTTTTTTCAATCGCCATGCTTGCTCTTCTAACATTGACTGTCTGCATATTTTTCACCTGCCTGTAATTAGTTATTTCCCAAGGGTGGATTATTTTTTTCCTTAGTGTAATTGTAAGGTGCTCAAGAAAAGAGACTATGCTGAGTTTTCTTCTTCTAATCCTCCATAGCACCTAGCCCAAAGGCAGGCTCCTCTACCTGATGTAGTGGGTAGATGGATGGGCTATTAGCCTCAGTCATCCCTCTGTCCCCTAACTAAATAAAGATGCCATGCAAGGTTTCAGTTTGCTTGTGGGCTTTAGTTCACATGTGCATCAATGCTTGGGATGCAGAAAGACAGCAGTACTGTCAACAGTTTGAAGATGTATAATATAATCTGCATCTTTTTTCTATTTGTTAAATCCAATCTAGGAATGTATTTGCATGGAACCCCCACTTCTTTGGGAGTTAGGTATTGCCTACCCCTTTTGAGAGATACAGGAACTCTGAGTCAAAGAGGCCAAAGATGGTAAGGACCATGACTAAGAGGCTGGTGGAGGCCAGACTGTCTTAGTATCTCAGCTATTGGGTTCTGCCTTTGCCTATGTGATCCTCCCACTCTGGTCCCTGCCACAGAACCTTTGCACTCCTCCAATATAGAAAAGTCTTATGTTTGACTACATGTCAACATGTCCCTCATTACTTACCAAATCTGGAGTCCTTTGGGGCCCTTGGGAACTCCTCCTAGGGCCAGATACAGAGAAAATGCCTCCTGAATGTGCAGCTCCTGTCTCTTGGTGGTCTTCCTTCAGCAACTGCTGCAGAGAGATCAAACTAGAGATCAATGATCCCCAACTCTTCTGTGGATCTATGTGGTAGAGTCAACATTCATAAACTTCTTTAAATGTGTTTGTTTGTGTGTCTCTGTTCTGAGGGCCATCCCAAATAAGAAAGCTTATTTTTTATCATTTCCTCTTTTTTTTGGTCTTTTTCTTCCTTTATTTTGTTTTTTTAAGAAGTTGCCTGATAACCATATAATTTTTCCAATTCTAGGTCTATATTCAGAAGACTTAGCTCCCATTCATAAAACTTAGCTTTAGTTAGATTTTATGATTAGTCATTCTGTGTTAATCTGTCAACCACCCTCTCCCCACAAGTGGGGATACCCCAGAAAGATTGCAAAAACTCTCTAATTTCTTCCTTAACTGCGCTTTAACCCATAAATAGCCGGATGTGGCCAAGGCAGACACACGCGCGTGTGCGCGCACGCGCGCGCGCGCGCGCGCACACACACACACACACACACACACACACACACACACGGCAGAAGTTTGCTAGCCTCCTTTGTGGCTGATTTATAATCTGACTCCTGGATGTTGATGATGATGATGATGATGATGATGATGATAGTGATCATGACTTTCTGCTTATGTCAATAAGTAGTTATTGATAACATGTGGTTTTCCCTTATGACTCCTTTAGGAAAAGAAGGGTACATTTACTTGCTTTTTTCACAGCCCCTTCTAAATAGTAGGACAGGGAGATGGAAGTGATGGATAGGAAGCCTTGACACTATGGTTGAAACACCAGGATTTCTCAGTGACAGCTTACTACAGAGCAAAATGTCCTGGACTGTCAGGTTCCACACTTCTTATTTCTAGTCCTGGTTCTTTAGATAATTATCTGTATGTACTTCCTTAAGCTCCTTCTATCCCAAGCCTCCATTTTTCTACTTGTAAATTAGTGGTGGAGGGAGGGGAGTTGAAAGATAAAAAATACTCTTGAACTCTGAAAGGCTCAGGGCACTGTTGTGTTCCCTACTTCTAGGGAAGCAGTTCAGCTACTCTAGTTGTTATTTATTTTTTTAATTGTGGTAAGGCTTTATTAAATTATTATCTGTGTACATATTTTAGCATTACCCCCCCTCCCATAGGTAACCCCCCTCCCCAGAGTTTTGTGTCCATTGGTTGTACTTATATGCATGTATACAAGTCCTTCGGTTGATCTCTTATCTCCCCAGATCTCCCTACTCTCCCCTCTAGTTGTTATTTAAATGTCTCTAGATTCCTTCTCCAGGAGGCAACTTGAAACTCTAAAGACAAAAAGCAGTTTTGAAACCCCCAACCCCAGTCTCTTTTCCACTGCAACTCTGAAGACTGAACTCCATCTCCCACTCCCTGCAGCATCAGACTCTGGGAAAATCAATCTATTTGCAAAAATTCCCCAAATCCTAAACCCTCTTTGCACACTGTTTCAGTCTCCCCACTAACATGCCACATCCACTTCCCAAATTGGTATTTCCTGAGTGTTGGACAAAAGTGCTGTCCCCCTAGGCGGCTAGACGCAAAACCCGGTGAACATTGCATGCAATCAATCTGAAGCTGGTGGCTTTACGTTGGAGAAAGCATAGCATCAGCATTATGCTGGGTTCACACGGTTCCAGAGACTCTACAATGTCCCCCTCCCAATTCTCTAACTGTCCCCTGCCTCATTCATCCTGCACGACCCCAAAATTTGTGCAGACACTTCCTGGTGACAGGTACCGATAAGGTCTCCAGTTTGTCAGTAGTCACCATGGACACCGCAGCCCCTCTCAATTCCCCCCTGTGCCACAGCTCCTAGCTGGTATTTTGGGCACTGTTGCAGAAGATAAGAGAGTAAGGGCAAAGGAAGGTGAAGAAGGCTGATCATGGGGGTTGCCCAGAAACGATCCCCTAAGTCTGGGCTTCCAGCTGCAGCAAGAAGAGGGAGGGGGTGCCAGGGAAGAGCTGCGAGAGGAGGGGGCCTGAGACTGGAGCAGCAAAGGCTTTGCCAATCCCTTTAGCTCCCCAGCGGGGATGGACAGGGCGGAGCTTCAACCGCGGCTTCCCATTGGCTCTCTCGCAAGTCCCTTAGATTTTCTATAAAATGCGTTGCAGAAGGCTCTGACTTCACTGGCTCAGAGCACAGCGACTGCAGGCCTAAGACAGACTGATTCAAGGGGACAGAAATTTAGTCTGAACGACCCCCAACTGCGGGAAGGAGGAAGGGCGCTCGTGGAAGCCTAGCGCTGCTGTCCGGAAGCCTGCACTGCCTGCGCACCCCAAGCTGAGAAACATTTGGAGCCAGCCGCATTCGCCAGCCCTGCGATCCACTGTCCAGCTCAGCTCAGCCCACTCCGAGTCAGGTCCAGCGGTTGTTTTTTTCCTTCTTTCGGGTCCCCTCCGTGCTATCCACCCACCCACCCCCTCCCACACCTTGGAGAGTGCATTTCCACTCAGAGCTCTCCGGGCCACGCTGAGCAGCGCTTGCCCAGCGCTCTGTGGAGACCCCTTACCCCTCCATCTCTCTTCCCTTGGCTCTCCCTGACCCAGTAGTTTAAGGATTTTGAGATTTTCCAAAGGCGTCAAGCTGGACGCCCCGACCACAGAATCACCCCAAGGGGCTTTCCCAAACCCCAGCATTATGAGCTATGGGGACGAGCTCACCCCCGAAGCTCTGAGTGTGCCAAGTGGGTTTGATGATCTCATCACCTCCACCGCTTCCCAGGTGCTGCAGTCTATTTCTAATGCAGCATCCGCGGTTACTAGCTCAGGCCGGGATAGCGTGCTCTCCATGATCCATAAGTTACCTGGCCATATCTCAAACATCGGCATCCTGGATGACACAGCAGGTACTATAGCTTCAGAGATGGTGTCCCAGGATGAGCGGGTACAGTTCTGGCTAGTAATAGGGTACACCATAGTGGTATTCGCTGCTATACTAGGCAACTGGGTCTTAAATCATGTGATTATGAAGTACAAGAAGATGCACACTGCCACCGGCCTCTTTGTCGTCAATATCTCCGTGACCAACATGATGCTGGCTTTTCTCAGCTCTCCCTTCACCATGGTAAGCTGTGTGCTGAAGAGGGAACCCGGGGCTCAGGCCATGAGAGCAGAATCACAGCTTTGCATTTGCAGCAGAGAGAGCTGCGTAGTGGGAAGGAGCACTGAAGCGGGTACAGTTAATTAAGAAAGTGCGTAGAGACAGGAATGGCTGAGATGTTGTAAACGGTTTGGAACTTGAGGGGAGGGGAGCTACAGCCATGATTGTGATTGCGTTGCTGAATTAATCTCCTGCCTTGTCAGAGATTGAGTGACGTGTGTGGCTTAAGGGAGGGGTGCAGATCTGTTTTGGGTGAGCTTTGTCACAAAGACGTAGCTTCCGTTTCCTCATTATTTATTTATTTATTTATTTATTTATTTATTTATTTATTTTTATGCAGTGCTTGGAATTGAAGATGGCTAACAATTTTTGTTAATATGAGGTCTGTGTCTTCAAACTGGCTGTTTCTGTGGAAATAGATGAGGGTATGACAGATACAATGTGAAAATATTTCCTTCCTGAGACAATAATGCCAGCAATTTGTAAAGCAAGGAAGCTTTTTCTACTTCTATTTTGAGCTTGTAAGAGGGGAATTACGCAACGCTGAGTCCTGGTGCCTCACCATGTCCTTTCTCCCACAGGTGCGCTATCTGTGTAATTCCTTGGTGTTTGGGAAGATGACATGCCACCTCAGTCATTTTGCTCAGTACTCTTGTGCCTATGTAACAGTGATGACCATGGCTGCTATTTCCCTGGACCGACATCGGGTAGGTTTTCCCAGGATTTTTCAGGTCTTATCAAAGAGTAGGTTTTTCTTCTAAATAGAAGCAGCTAAGAACATAAATAATTTAAAATGTTTGAGTTCATTGAGACAATCTATGTGAATATATATATAGAAAGAGAGAGAGAGAGAGAGAGAGAGAGAGAGAGAGAGAAAACACACACACACACACACACATACACACACACACACACATATTAGGAGGATTGCAATATGTGAATTAGACTTTTGCCATATCAAATCTTATGTAACAAAAATACCATCATCTTTTATATGGTGCTATGGAAACGGTGATGGAGCAATAAAATGATTTTTTTTTAAGTGGCCTCCTTCTCCTTTGGAAAACATTTTTTTTCTGTTGCTGTTAAGGAAAACATTTTTATTTGCTGCATTGCAGGACTGGCTAAGGGAAGAAAGAGGGGAAGAATGAGTCAGAGCAGGATGTGGCATCAGGGCTGGTGATGGGTTGAGTCTGAGAGGTGGGCTTGAAATCTTCCAGTGAGAGCTGAGCAAATGAAATAGAAATAAATTGAGAGATTGAGGAAGACATAGTTAAGAGGAGGGATTGAAGTGACTTAAAAGGAAGGAGGTAGGGCCAGGGATGAGATATTGTTCATCATTTGAGAGGGAGCCAGGAAACAAGTGCAGTGGGAAGAACACAGAGGAAAATTGAAGGTGTTGTGGCTGGAACCAGATGGAGGGAGCCATAGAGAAATCTAGGTCATAGGAGATTAAGGAAGATGGGAGAAGGCATGGAGGAAGAGACTAGAGGGAAAAGGAGGAAGGAAAAATTGACCAATGAAGGATAAAGATGGGAGGGGAAGGGGGAATAAGGGAAAGAGACATAAAGGGAACCAAGTGAGATAAAGAATAAAGGGATGTGAGGTACTCACCTATCGATATATGATTAAAAAAAAATACATTACACTTTTGGACATCCATCCCTCTTCTCCACTGAACTAACTGGGAGATAGAAACTTTGAAATCAGTCCACTTGGATTGCTGTCTTCCCATTGACATTCTCTCTTACACTAACCAACTTTGTTCTTTCATAAAACAAAATACCACTCACTGCTCAACAGAACTAGTACCCAAAGCACATTACTCACCCACCTACCAAGTCTTTGCACTTTTGCAAAAGAAGGTCAGTTGAATTGTGACTAGTAAGTAACCTTAATATAGATTGTTTAATTGGGCTGGGGTCTTTTCTTCCAGGTCATGCTATATCCCCTGAAATCCAGAATTACTCCAATGCAAGGCAATGTTTGCATCATTATCATCTGGATTGTGAGCACCTGTGCTGCTTTGCCACATGCCATTCACCAAAAGCTTTACCAAGTGGAAATTGGGTAAGAGGAACACAGAATGGCAAGTGTCTGGATTTGAGCAACCTGTGACCTTGAAAGCCTCATGAAATAAGGGGAATGGGATAGGGGCTGGAATAGCACATTTCAAAACATGGATACAAAAATAAATTTCTCTAAACTGGAATTTACTAAGAGTACTCAAGAACTCTCATGACAATGGGTTGTTAGGCAAACCACTTTCTGTTTGGGGTCCATTGTTTCTGTATATATCATATGAGATGTCTGGAATTGATGAACACTAAAACTCCCTGCTTTGTAAGTTAATGTTTCTCTTTCTCTGTCTTATAACCTAGAAACAAAACTGAAGAAACTGTATGCCTCCCCAGTTTCTCCTATACTTCAAAATCCACTTGGAAATATCTTGACCTGAGTACCTTTTTGCTCTTCTTCCTCTTGCCATTGATGGTGCTGATGGTTGTCTATGGTCATGTGGCCAAGAAATTGTGGATCCATAATGCTGTTGATGACATCAATATCCACACCTACATTTGCCAGCGTGGGAAGAAGAAGCAAAGTCTGAAGATGCTAATGATGGTAGTGCTTGTCTACACTATCTGTTGGCTTCCCCTCAACATCTATCTGGTGCTGCTCTCTAGTGAATCCATCTCAAGCCACAATGGTCTCTACTTCTTCCTCCGCTGGCTTGCAGTTAGCAGCTCGTGCTACAACCCTTACATCTATTGCTGGCTCAGTGATAGCTTCCATATTGAAGTTCAGAAGGTCTTCATGGATATACAGAAGATGCTACTAAATGGAATCAGCCGCCTGAGAGGGGAGCACCGCCAACTGAGCTCCACCTCACCCACTCATCCCCCTCCTAGAATGGATCCCAATCCTGGGGTGCCCAAATTCCCACGATTCAAAGATTTTGATGAGCTACCCAGTCCTCCTTCATCCCCAGAGGTGGAAACCTCCTTTCTCCACCCCACAGTGCCTAGAGTTTAAGCTGCCCAGACCGCGATAGATTATCCATCCTCAAAAACTCAGATAGGGTGGGACCAAAATAATAAGTTTCATTCATTTTACATTTTGGGGGAATGGAGGGAGGGGTTGGAATTTGAGGGATGGGAGCTATGTGAGCCACCATATGTGTCTTACTTGCTTTTTCATTTTCTTCTGTCTTCTCTCCTGTTTCCTTTCCAACATTTTCTTTCCCCCAACCGTAAGTAAACTGAAGATATTAGATCTTCAGACTCATCAGAGATGTTTTTACATAACTCAAAGGAAAGTTACACTATGACTTGGGTCTCCTATATTTCATCTCTGATTTAGAGATTGTTCCCTTCTCCATTTTTGTGTGCCCACCTGGCCATGGCTCTTGTGTTCTGACATCTTAGACATTGTCTCAGAGCCCCCAAAGATTACTTACATTTATTTAGATGAACAAGAGGTCAATGTCCATATTGTGTCTAAAATTTTCCCAGAGAAGTAATGGAAGAGAAATCCAGTTTCTAAATTTTAATTGGGTTCTTTAAGATCTTAGAGCTCCCTATAAGTGCAAATAGTCTTATCTCCTCATGGAAGAATGAGAATGAGAAACTTTACAGGAAAAGATAAGGCAGTTAAATGGTTCACTCTACATCACCTGGGTTATTTCTCCAGAATGCAAATACAATAATTTGATGATAGCTTTCTTTTAAATCCATTGACTATTCAAGTGCTCAAGTTAGCACTGCAAAATCCAAAACTTCTCCCTGTTCCTTGACTCCACATTTAACATACCTTATCTAATGTAAATTTATACATCTCTTTTTCTGGAAAAAAAGAAAGTGTAATGTGTTCACTGTTGATTTGTTTCCATCCCTCTAGCCTATGAGGATTTCAACTCCAGAGAGATGAGGAGGAAGTAACTATCTGCCATCGCCTTTCATGTGGAGACATTGTTATTAAGGCTCTTTGAAAGGTATAACTGTGTGTGTCAGGAAAATGCCATGATGAGGATGTGTTTTTTCTCCTCCTCCCCCCGATTCCCTCCCTACTCATATCCTTGTCTGCCCCTTTTCATTTCCTTTTCTCCCCCTCTATCTTCTCTCCCTGGCACCTTCTCCTCTTCTACTTTCTCTGTTCCACCCTTCTCCTTTTCCTTCTGTTCCTCCTCCACCTCCTACAAATTCCTTCCTTCCTTCCTCTCACCCTCTTTCCGTGTCTCCTTTGTTCCCCTCTCCTCCTCTTTCCCCTCTTCTCCCTACTTCTGCCCATCTTTTCCCCTCTTCTTCAGTTCTTTCCTCTTCCCTTAATTATCTTTCATTTTCTTCTCTCCTTACTCCTCTTATTGCCCCTCCTCCTCCATCTCCAGCTTCCTCATTCCTCCTTAGTCTCTTCCTTCTTTGGTACCCCTTTTCTAATTTGTTCTTTCTTCATCCCTCCTTTATTATCTATCTATTCATCATTCACTTCTTTGAACTCTGATGCACAGTTTAAACTACTGGTTTCTCCTTGCATTTTAATTATTGTTCATCAATTCTCTCCAATATTTCTCTCTTCTCTTATCTTCGGAATTCAGACTTCTCTAACCCTTAATGGAAGTCTTGGGATCTGTACAGCATTTTAGCTTTGTTCATTTCCTCCTCCACCTCCTTTTTATATTTCACCACCACCCGCAAAGAATCAAAATAACTTTTTAAAAATATAAAATAGCTACTAACAATAACAACAATAAGAATAGACTTTTATCACCACAAAATAACCCTGGAGATTGTTAGATGTTCCAGGCCCACCTGGCTGGCTTCAGAGTTTTATTGCTCCATTTGCTGTGAACTTCATAGTAACTGGCCAAACCCATTGGTTTTAGCAGTACTGAGAACAGGTTATCATCATCTTTTTAGAGTGTATGTGTGTTTCTGCTTCAATCTCATTATCTTCAATCATCTTCCCTTTCTTCTCATCTTAATCATTGTCTTTTTACCAAGGACATGTTACTCAAAGTCCTTTTAATTCTTCAGTTTTCTCTGGAAAGTGTCAAGCCAGAGGCACAAAACAGATTAACTGGAGTTTAGATTCTAGCTAGTCATCCTACCTGGTGAAAGCAGAAATTGGCTAATTTGAAGTCAGAACTCCAGGAATCTATGTAAATTTTCCATACTTGCTAAAGTGTTGCATCCCTTTTTTAGATCAAGAACAATTTGAGGGGGGAAAGGGTAGTTTAATCTCTGCTTCTTTCTATTTTCATTTTCATGAATGAACCTTTTATCTCTTTTTCCTTCCTACTCTCACCACCAAAATAACAAAACACTATAAATATTAAAAATAACTATATTTACTAAGTACAGGACTAAATATTTAGAGAAGTCCTGGACTAAATAGATAACCACATCTGCTAGTGGCATCATTGTAATTGCACATTCACCTTTCAGCTTCAGCTATTTTTGAAATTGGTAGTCTTTGTGAGTGGTGAGCTCTGCTGATATTTTTTTCTTTCTCATTATGTATCCTCATTCTTCTAAGAACAGACTTGTCTTTCTCATTCTCCTTTTGGCAGGATGGATACATCCCAGGACAATCAGGCTGATTGTCTAAGACACTGCTTCCTCATGAGGAGAGAGCAGAGTGAAAATGTCCTGAGGTAGCCAGTGCTTCCTGAAGGAATTATACCTTGCTCTGATATAAAGTTCCTTTACCTACTTAGACTTAAGAGAAGTTCAGATGAAAGAGATGTCATTGTAATTTAAATGACTACTGTGCTATTGTATGTTCACTTAGTGTTCCTCTTCCTAGAAACACTCTTCCCTATTCCCACTTTCATCCTCCAAAGAATCAGACAGCCCCCACACACACCTCAGTAAAGCTGAATATCTGGGATGTTACATGCTTGACAGATGATCCAGTTTCAGTGTTTGCTGCAGCTTTGGTGATGGACAGGATGCTTGAAGAATTGAGCCCCGTGGTAGTTTGAATTTTTTGTGGGGTTTGCTTAGATTCTTTTCAGCAGCAACTAATCTGAACTCAACACCCAGCCAAGTCTGGGGGTGCTACCATTATAAGTAGTTTCTGACTGAGGACTTATTTAATTGGAATATGGTGCTAATGAGTGCTAGGTCGTAGGCTCTAACCCATGTGCAGCCATTTAGCTTTGTGGGTTTCAGCATGGTGCTAAAGAACTATGGGATTGTGGTTTCAAAACCCCATTTGTGTCTGTTTACAGACTGCACCACTCACCCTGGCCAGCCTTTTTCTGAACATGGGTTATCAGCCATCTGGAAGACCCAACAAAACTATTCTTTGAATAGCCCTGAAAAATTCATTTTCACTTCTGAGAAATAGTTTAAAGTATATTAAATACTGATAGTGTTTTAACAGTGTCACCTTCTTGTCAGAAGGATACCATTTTTTAAATGTATAGCTGAACAGAGAGAATTACAGCAATGGCAGATGGGAGAAGTTGCCGAATTATCCTTTTTCACACATCCAAATGCATATACAAGCCTTTGTCCAATGCCATGAAACTGTACATTGGTCTAATCCAGTACATTTAAAGAAATGCTTTGATGAAACTAAGAGCTATATGAAGCTGGTCCAATACCACACCTTACTGGATATGTTTGGACTAGAGGAATTTATCTCCTGACACATATATCTGAGATGCTGGTAGTCAGTTTTAAGTATTATTAATTTATAAATGTATAACATAGATTCACTTTTAGGTGTTCTCAACTGAAGGCCTCTTTCATTGAAAATTCCCTCTCATCCTGTACTTACCTTTGTGTGCTATCACACATACATTCACTCACACATATGTATGTATTCACGCATATACATAAACACACACATACACCTATACATATCTACACAGATGCACATATGTGAATGTACATATACTCCCACATATATAAGAATACATACATGCTTATACATACAGAAAAATGTACACAAAGATTTATTATATTTTAAAATAAATATGACCAAGTCTTTTCATAATGCATATTCCAAATCTAAATTTTAATTTTTAGTCACTTAGTCAATTATCTGTTTGAATAAATGAACTCCGGAATCTTTTCAAAACCATCATTATTTTTCTAGGTGATCAGATTACTATTTTGTACATTGTTGTAGATGCTGATACTATGTTATTAAAATCTGTGTAGCATTCACACTTCTAGCCTTATATCATGGTAAGTGTCCTACTAGCAAAAGCATATAATAATACCAATTGGATATTTATTATTCAAAAGAAAATATACTTAATTTTATTCTTAAACACACATAAAAGCAAAACTTTAAATTGGGAGTAGGAACTTGAATACACATGAGCATAAACAATTTATGCACTAATCAATAAAGAAAAAAATGGAAAAAATGTTCACAGAATATACACTATACACAGACACAGAAAGATACACACGAAGCTTAAGAAACCATTATCATAAAAGAATCTTTCTGATTCATGCCAGGAAAGAAAATGTTAAATGTCTAAATTGTAATTTTCTAAAATAATGAGGAATTCATAAAGACATTGAAATCTGTGGACTCAGACCCTTGTTAGCATATATAACGTAGGAAGAACAGAAGGCTAAAATTCCTTTGCCTAATTTGTGAGAAACGTTTTAAGCTTGGGTGTTACCTATGCTTCAGGAAATTTACATGCCTTAATATCATCAAGTGACTACCAAGAATCATAATTACAAATTTGGACCATCTGCTTCATTCTTTGTCATTGCTGAAGGCTGTCAACATCTCTAGATTATGAGACAAAGCCTCATTGAGGGACACTGTCATCCTTCAGGCCATGTGAGGAAGGAAATGAGATGGAGCCAGTCTGGACAGTTTGAGAGTGTGGATGAAGTTGTTTATTCTGATATCTCTTGTTCAGAGTTTTCTGTGTCTAGTTCAACCTTCTTGCCAATAGAACTATTTTATATGTGATGATAACTTTGTAATTATCAAAGTAAGACCTTTTGGTGTTTTTCAATGTGTTTGTTGTCAATGTTCGTCCCCACATTGAAAAACTAGAAACTGTTAGGGGGTCTGGATAAGACTGCAGGTTTCATTTGTAAATATGCTGGTGAATGAGTAGATACTCTGAAAACAGAAAAACACTGGAAAGGAGCCCTTTTATATCATATGGAAAGCTTGATGCTGAAAAAAACAGCATGATCTGGATGCCCAAGGTGGGTACTGAGGAAAAAGCATAGATTTTAGCTTGAAGTGCATTTCTTGGCATAATAGATGCAGATTCTGAAGGAAGTGCCCATATTTAGATTTATGTAAATAGGTATATGTTAACTAAACAAGTTAAAATGTTATAGCAGAATTTAAAATTAAGAAATAAATCTAGCTATTATTTTGGGATTCGGTCCTACTAGAAATAAAGGTATCATTGGTTTATTTTTATGGAATGATCTAAATGACATCCAGGAGAGATACACAGATCAAGCTGACTGACAAGGCCTTTGCTGTAGAGGATTTCCCCACTCAAAATACTGATTTCAAGGTAGTGTAAAGCCTTCATTAATATTTGGAAAACACTGAATACTCTTTTTGTTGCTTTAACCAAGAGGTTGTGTTTGTGAAGACCTTTGTACCTGTAACTTGGAACTCAAACAGGAAAGTTTAGTATTAAGAAATCCTTCAATAAAATAAAAATTTAAATACAAATAAAAAATATTAAATAACCCATAGAGAAAGAAGGAAAGAAAATTATCTTTTAGATAGTGAAATTTATTGTCTACTCCAGCACCTGCCTAAGCAGTGTTTACTGGACTTTCCATGAAATGAAAATGAACTTGATACTTCTGACTTTCAGCATTTCAGCCTTTTGCACTGCTCTGTCCTTTCTCACAAGATCTATGGAATGATGGAAACATCCTATGTGCACAGTTATATCTCACACTAGATGCAGGGTGTGTATGTAGTTGTAGTGTGGGCTGCGGGACTGAAGACTCCCAGGGAAGAATACTGTGGATTTGCCATATTTTCTGTATGCAAGCTGCAATAGCAATGTTTAAATGGCACAGAAAATAATTCTCCCTGCAGAGATATTGACAAATTGCAATGGGACATCATGACAAAGGAGAATGAGAGAAGTCTCACCTTGTTCAATAGAAGAATGGACATTATTTTGTGATTCCAACAGGGATATCTGTGTTACTAATTTTCTTGTTACTGTGCTTTAAATATGCTCTACTAATGTCCCTATTCCTCTGTACCCTCATTTAATGTTTAAATTTGGATTCTGGGTTGGGTTGGGGAGGGCACCTTGGGTAAGGGGTAGTGTAGTGGGTGGGAGCATGGGAAGTGGGAGTAGATTAGAATATATATGTATTCACATAGTAAATAAAAATACTTGTTTAAAATACTTCCAAGCTCTTCTTTTTGTTTTTATTTTTTATTGAGAGAGAGAGACAGAGAGAGAGAAAAAGAGAGAGAGAGAGAGAGAGAGAGAGAGAGAGAAACATTGAATGTTTTGTTCCACTTATTTATGCATTAATTGGTTGACTCCTACATGTGCACTTATTGGGGATCAAATCTACAACCTTGGCATGTTAGGAGGATACTTTAACCAAGTGAACTATCCAGCAAGGGCCCTAAGCTCTTCTCATATGAATAGATCTAGTTGGCACAGGTTGAGGTGCTGCTTACATCAATGGGTATTTATGATTCACAGTACCTACCATAAGTTTCAATTGATTATTGCTGGTGCCAGTTCAACATCAACAGGAATCCCCAGTTTGGGATATGGTGAAGAAGAAAACTTTACTCAGTGCAAATATTGATAAAGAATGGCTGTGAAAACAGCACCACTATGGAACAGCTCAATAGTGCTACAGCACAGCTGTGAAAACAGGCTGTGTGGTGAACCTGGGGCCAGCTAAGCAGCTCTGCTCCACTCTGTCTACTCCACACTGGTCTGCTCTACTCTGGTGAGCCATTTTCAATGTTTCAGTTTCAGCTGAGGAAATGCAGTCTTCGGTGGAAAGTGTGCTCTCAGAGCCAGAAGGGAGATGGCTTATATGAAGGGAAGTCCCTGTCCCTGGTTCCAGATTGGTTCATCCTCATGCAAATGAGGACACCAAATCCTCAAAGTTCAATAGATCCTAAAGGCACATCCTGACTGGACAGAGTACAGCCACTCGGATTGGCCGGAGCTGCACAGCTCTGATTGAATGGAAAATCCCAGTCCTATTGGTTGGACTAGGACTCCAGGAACTACATTATAAAGGCTGGCTCATAAGGCAGAAACACAGTGCAGGCAGGAAGTTCAGTTCACAGGCACACCGGTAGTGCAGGCTTCTCCCTGAAATATAGTTTGCATGAGTGGCTCCTGTGTGGAAATGACCATTAGGCTCTGGGTTTGTTTTTTGTTGTTGTTCTTGTTCTTCTTGTTTTTTTGTGGGGGGTGTTTGTTTGTTTGTTTGTTTTAGCCACTAGGAACCCTTCTCAGTCCTTAAGGTATAAGTTATCATCTATTGAAAACTTTCTATGTGCTAGCCATATGGATATTGACGTGGAAGTGGGTGGGAGTAGAGATATCATGTAGAAGCAAACCCTTTGGACTATTCTTTGGAAAAGTTACATGGTTAGCAAAGGAGACAGTTTGCCCATGAAAACACTAAGGAGTCAAATCTCTACCTGCTGGACAGTAACCAGAAAAGCATGTTGGGACTTCAGTAGGAAAGTAACAGGCTCCAAAAATGGGTGGGGTCAAGTCAAGAATGCCTAAAGCAATGAAGATGCCTCATCAATAAAATCAAAACTCAGAATTCCAATATTTAAACACAGTAAGAGAATTTCTAGATGGGGATGAGTATTAAACAAGTGGATTGAGCTTAACATCCTGAATGTACCATTCCTTAAGCATCTTTTGCTTGAATTATCACTGCAATAATCATCCCTAAACCACAAACGTGCTCCATGCCCTTTGTATGTTCTGATTCTTTAAAACTAATGATACAGCTCCTAGGACAATGGAAACTAAGGAGAAAATAAACAAATGGGAATACATAAAAATAAAAAGCTTCTGCACAGCAAAATAAACCATCAACTAAACAACAAGAAAGCCCACTGCATGGGAGGACATATTTGCCAATGTTATCTCCAATAGGGGTTTAATCTCCAACATTTACATGGAACTCATACAACTTAACGAAACCAGATTGGCTCAGTGGATAGAGCATCAGCTTGCAGACAAAAGGAAGATAAACAACCCCCCAAAAAATGGGCAAATGAGCTAAATAGACAGTTTCTGAAAGAGGACATTCAGAAAGCCAACAGACATATGAAAACATGCTCCAAGTCGCTAATCATCTGAGAGAAGCAAATCAAAACAATAATGAGGTACCACCTTACACCTGTCAGAATGGCTATCATCAAAAAATCAACAAATGGAGAGGATCCAAGATGGCTGCTCGGGTAGACATCTAACCGCAGCAGCACACAACAATTTCAATGGAATACAACTAAAATGTAGAGTGGACATTGCCCAGAGCTACAGGTAGTCGACTGACTGAAAACTCTACAACAAGAAGGAAAGAGAAAACCAGAAGGAAAATCAGAGGAGCTGAAAAAAAGCCTGAGGTACGGAGACATGCTGTGCGCCCGCACGCACACGCGCGCGGAAAGGTCACAGCCAGAGAGGAGGAGAGGGCTGGGTGCTGCCTGGAGTTCCCTAGCAGGAAGGAAATAAAACCCCCAGCCTGGGCTGAACCCCCGAAACGGCAGCGCTGAGCCCCAGTTATGGACCAGACCCTGGGTACCCAGGCTCCTGCAGGGGGAGACAGGGCTGTGAGGTGGAATCCCAGGGGAGCAGCAAAAAGCAGGGCCCCCGGAGTGGCGCGCACATTGCATGCAGAGGACTGAATGTTGACTCTGATGCTGGATTACCCTAGCCGGAAGAAACAAAGCCTCCGGCGGCACTGAGCCTCGGTCCAGACTGCTCTGAACCCCAGTTCTAGGCCAATCCCTGGGGACCCAAGCTCAAGCAGAGGGAGACGGGGCTATGAGGTGGAGTCCTGGGAGCGCGGCGAAAGGCCGAACCCCCGGAGTCGCGCACATTGCTTGCAAGGGAAAGAATGTTGACTCTGATGCAGGATTGCCCTGGAGGGAAGGAAACAGGAGCCCCGGCAGTGTTGGGCCCCAGTTTCGACTGCTCTGAACCCCAGTCCTAGGCCAGACCCTGGGGACTCAGGCTCAGGCAGGGGGAGACAGGGCTGTGAGGTGGAATCCCTGGGGAGTGACGTAAAGTGGAGCCCCCAGAGTCGCGCACATTGCGCGCAGACGCACACAATGCATGCAGAGGACAGAATGTTGACTCTGATGCTGTATAGCCCTGACGGGAAGAAACAAAATCTCCGGCGGTGCTGAGCCCCACACCCGACTGCCCTGAACTCCAGTTCTAGGTCAATCCCTGGGGACCCAGGCTCAAGCAGAGGGAGACGGGGCTGTGAGGTGGAGTCCTTGGGGAGCTGCGAAAAGCGGAGCCCCAGGGGTCATGCACACTGCGCGCAGAGGACAGTCTGTTGACTCTGATCCTAGACAACCCTAGCGGGAAGAAGAAAAAAAAACTCCAGACTGGAGGAACGCGACGAGGAGCAGGAGCCCCTGCAGGACACCAGCCAGTTGGGCACCAGCAAGGAGCCGGGCGATGGGGTCCCGGGGGGGGGGGGTGCCCCTGAGCCTTCGACCACTGAGCACGGGCAACAGAGCCAAGGCCGGGGGCTGCTTCCTGGGCGGCGCCGACCCCGGCAACAGGCTGAAGCAGCGCAGGAGCCCACGGAGAACAAAGGGGTGCCACAGGCCAACCTGCTGAGCTCCCAAGACAAGGAGGAAGAAACCAAAGAAGTTCTCAATGTGAAGAAATCAAGTGAGAGCAAAAGATAGTAAAATTACTTAAGAAAGAATACAAAGAAGATCTTGAAAAATCAAAGACTAAGTCAGAACTCAACTCACCAGCCAACATTGCAACATACATGCGTTTAAAAAAAAAAAAAAAAAAGGACAGAATGTTGGAACAGTGGCGGCCAGGCCTAGAGTGGCCAGGCACAAGGCAGTGGCAGCCGGGCCCAGAGCAGCAACGGCCAGGCCCCAGAGCAGCAGCAGCCAGAACCAGAGCATCAACAGCCAGCACTGGAGCAGCCAGATCTGGGGCAGTGGCAGCCAGGCCTGAGGCGGAAGCGGCCAAGCCCAGGGTGGCCAGTCCAGGAACACCCAGACCCGGAGTGGCCAGGCCCGGAGAAGCCGGGCCCAGAGCAGCCGGGTCTGGTATGGCCAGGCCCAGAACAGAAGTAGCCAAGCCCAGAGCATCCAAGCTGGGAGCAGCCAGGTCTGGAGAGGCCGGGTCGGGTGCGGCCAGGCCCAGAGAAGCAGCTGCCAGACTGGGAGCGGCCAGGCCTGGAGCAGCCGGGTCGGGTGCAGCCAGGCCCGGAGCAGCAGCTGCCAGGCTGGGAGCGGCCAGGCCCGGAGCAGCCAAGTCTGGTGCGGCCAGGCCTGGAGCAACAGCTGCCAGGCGGGGAGCAGCCAGGCCCAGAGCGGCCGGGCCCAGAGCAACCGGGCCCAGAGCAGCCAGGTCGGGTGCGGCCAGGCCCGGAGCAGCAGCAGCCAAGTCCAGAGCAACTAGGTCGGGAGCGGCAGTGACCAGACCTGGAGCAGCTGGTTGTGGAATGAGCCAGAGCAACAGAGGCCAGGCCCGGAGCAGCCAGGCCCAGAACAGCTCGCTCCTTGCCTGCCCCTGCCCCATGGCTGCCTCTCAGACATGGCTGGAAACTTTTGCGGGATCTTGAGGGTCTGCTGAATCAAGTGATAAGGGCTTAGATCTGGATGTGTTGAGTTAGTATAGCGCTGGGGTGTTGATCTGTGAGTGCCTTGGGTGGGGCCTGGATGAGGCTGGTTGACCTATTTGGAAATGTCTTTTGTGTGAAGTGTATCATTGGGCATGTGGAGGTATTATTGATATGAAAAAATGCTAAGAAACTGATTTACTATCTGAAAAGGGATTTACTATCAGGGAAAGGGAGGGAGGAAGAGACTGAACATAAACTGTGCACCTATGGATGAGGACAATGGGGGATGGGGAGGGGGCGGAGGGTGGGGTGGGAACCTGGTGGAGGGGGGAAGAAATGAGGAACCTTTGTAATAATATGAACAATAAAGATTGATTTTTTTTAAAAATCAACAAATGGCCAAAATCGGTTTGGCTCAGTGGTAGAGCATTGGTCTGTGGACTGAAAAGTCCCAGGTTCGATTCCGGTCAGGGGCATGTACGTTGGTTGTAGGCACATCCCCGGTGGGGGGTGTGCAAGAGGCAGCTGGTCGGTGTTTCTCTCTCATCAACGTTTCTAGCTCTCTAGCTCTCTCCCTTCCTCTCTGTAAAAAATCAATTTAAATTTTTTTTAAAAAATCAACAAATGACAAGTGCTGTGGAGGATGCGGAGAAAAAGGAACTGTCCTTCATTGCTGATGGGAATGCAGACTGGTGCAGCCACTGTGAAAAACAGTATGGCATTTTCTCAGAAAAGTAAAAATAGTACTCCTATTTGACCCAGTGATCCCACTTCTAGGAATATATCAGAAGAAAACAGAAACACTAATCAGAAAGGATATGTGCACTCCTATGTTCATAACACCATAATTTACAATAGCTAAGATTTGGAAATAGCCTAAGTGCCCATCAGCCAATGAGTGGATTAGAAAACTGTTGTACATGTACTCAATGGAATACTATGCTGCTATAAAAACGAATGAATTCTTACCATTTGCAACAGCATGGACGGAACTGGAGAGCATTATGCTAAGTTAAATAAGCCAGTCAGTGAAAGAAAAATACCACATGATTTTACTCATTTATGAATAATAAAAAAATTATAAATTGATGAACAAAAATAGATACAGAGGCAGAAATGCATCAAACAGACTTTCAAACTACAGTGGAAAGGCTGGGGAGGGTTGAGGGGGCAGGTAAGAGATCAACCAAAGGTCTTGTATGCATGCATATAAGCATAACCAATGGACACAAGACACTAAAAGGGGAGTGAGGGCATGTACTGGGAGGGTAGGGAAGGCTGAAGGAAGGTCAAATGGGGGGGAAAAAGAAGACATATGTACTACTATTTGTAATACTTTAAACAATAATAATTAAAAAAAAAAACCTCGATAGTCTTTTGGAAAACTATAAGCTTCCATCGGATATGCTAAAGGAGAACAATTGGGAAATACACATGAACTAAAAAAGCATAAATACATGTTAACAAATTCCCAATCTCAGATCCCATAGTTTCCAGCTACTACCCTAACTTGTGTGTGTGTGTGTGTGTGTGTGTGTGTGTGTGTGTGTGTGTGTGAGAGAGAGAGAGAGAGAGAGAGAGAGAGAGAGAGAGAGAGAGAGGTCTAAAACAGATTCTCCTTACTTTACCTAAGTTCCCAATTTCCAAGCCTCTGACTTGTCTTTGCTTGAAGGTTATCATGGTAAAACCTCCTATATAAGAGCACCCTCCTGAACAAACATATAAGCATTGCCCCACTATAAGTCCCCCCACAATGTCATATGCATCAAAAGTTTCTTTACTATTTTACTATTCAAAGATACATACATCCTATCTAATAAAATAGTAATATGCAAATTGACTGTCACTCCAAGACACAAGATGGCTGCCCCCATATGGTCAAAGATGGCTGCCCCCATGTGGACACAAGATGGCCACCACAAGATGGCCAGCAGGGGAGGGCAGTTGAGAAGGATCAGGCCTGCAAGGGAGGGCGGTTGGGGGCCATCAGTCTTGCAGGGGAGGGCAGTTAGGGATGACCAGGCTGGCAGAGGAAGGCAGTTGGGGGCAACGGGGCATGCAGGCAAGGGCAACGGGGGGGGGGGGGGACCCAGGCCTGCAGGGGAGAGCAATTGGGGGGGGGGGACCAGGCCTATAAGGGAGGGAAGTTGGGGGTGATCAAACATGCAGGGGAGGGCAGTTAGGGGTGACCAGGCTGGCAGAGGAGGGAAGTTGGGGGTGACATAGCCTGCTAGGAAGGGCAGTCGGGGGAAACCCAGGCCTGCAGGGGAGAGTAGTTTGTGGGGACCAGGCCTGTATCAGAAGGAAGTTGGGAGGTACCAGTGCTGTAGGGGAAGGCAGTTGAGGGGGAGACCAGACCAACATGGGAGAGCAGTTAGGGGTATTGAGGTTGGCAGAGGAGGACAGTTGACGGGACCAGACCTGCAGGGGAGGTCAGTTGGGGGGGGGGGGAGATCACCAAGCCAGCAGGGGATAGCAGTTAGGGGTGACTGGGTCGTCAGGGGAGGAGAGTTGGAAGGACCAGGCCTGAAGAGGAGGGGAGTTGTGGGGATCAGACCATCAGGGGAGGTAAGTTATGGGTGACCAGGCCTGCAGGGTAGGGCAATTAGAGTGACCAGGACTGAAGGGGAGCAGTTCGGCATCAATCAGGCTGGCAGGAGATTGGTTAGGAGGTGATCAGGCTGGCAGGCAGAAGCAGTTAGGGGCAATCAGGAAGGCATGCAGGTGAACAGTTGGGAGCCAGCATCCTGGATTGTGAGAGGGATGCCCGAACTGCCCATTTAGGCCCGATACCAGTGGGATGGTGCCTAAGCAGGCAGTCAGACATCCCTCAAGGGGTTCCAGGTTGGAGAGGGTGCAGGCTGGGCTGAGGGACATTCAACCACCATGCACAAATTTTGTGCACCAGGCCTCTAGTTTATTATAATAACACAGTATTTTTTTGTTAAAACATACCTGGATAGCCCTAACCAGTTTGGCTCACTGGATAGGACATTGGCCTGTGTAAAAAATCAATAAAATACGTTTTTTTAAAAACACACCTGGATAAAAACAAACTTTAGGACTTACTTCTAAAACAAGGCATGACAACACAATAAAAACTGACAATATTCTGTTTTTACAAAAGCACTTTGAATTTTAAACAGAATCAGAATGTATAGAACATATTGACATTAGCAAAATCACAAGAAAGTTTTGCAATTTCTTTTTATCAGTGAACTCTAATTTTATGTTCTAACATAAAACATTTAAATCTGTTAAATGTTTTTTTATCCAGACAGCTCCTTAGTTTTGTGGGGTTTTTTTAATTAGCTTTAATTTCATAAAGAATAATGCTGTGTAGATACAGTGATGGGAATGATGCAAATCAAAATGATAATAAGGTAACATCTCACACCTGTCAGAATGGCTGTCATCAACAAATGCCAAGTGCTGGTGAGGATGTGGATAAAAAGAAACCCTGGTGCATTGCTGGTGTGAATGCAAGCTGTTGCAGCCATTGTGGAGATCAGTATGGAGTTTCCTCAAAAGAATAAAAATGAAACTCCCATTTGACCCAGTGGTCCCAATTCTAAGAATATATCCCAAGAAACTAGAAACACCAATTAGAAAGGATGCACCCCTATGTTCACAACAGCACAATTTACCATAGCTAGGATTTGGAAACAACCTAAGTGACCATCAGCAGATGAGTTAATTAGAATATAATGGTACATCTGCACAATGGTATACTGTGCTACTATTAAAAAAAAAAAAAGTTCTTACCATTTGCAACAGCATGGATGGAACTGGAGAGCATTATGCTAAGTGAAATAAATCAGTCAGAGAAAGATAAATATAACATGATCTCACTCATTTGTGGAATATAATGAACAACATTAAACTGATGTTTTATGTTAGAACATAAAATTAGAGTTCACTGATAAAAAGAAATTGCAAAACTTTCTTGTTCTGGGTCAGACCCTGGGGACCCAGGCTCAGGCAGGGGGAGACGGGGCTGTGAGGCGGAATCCCAGGGGAGCGGTGAAAGGCGGAGCCCCCTGAGTCACGCACATTGCGCGCAAAGGAAGGAATGTTGACTCTGATGCTAGATTGCCCTGGCAGGAAGGATGCAAGAGCTCCGGATGTGCTGAGCCCCAGTTCCAACTGCTCTGAACCCCAGTTCTAGGCCAGTCCCTGGGAACCCAGCCTCAAACAGAGGGAGATGGGGCTGTGAGGCGGAGTCCCAGGGGAACGGCGAGGGGCAGAGCCTCCAGAGTCGCGCACATTGCGCATAGAGGACAGTCTGTTGACTCTGATGCTAGACTCCCCTAGCGGAAAGGAGACAAAACCTCCAGACTGGGAAGAACGTGATGAGGAGCGGGAGCCGCTGCCGGACACCGGCCAGCCGGGTGCCGGCAAGGAACCAGGCGACGGGGCCCCCAGGGATGGGGTGCCGCTAGAGCCAAGGCTGGGGGCTGCTTCCTGGGTGGCGCCAACCCCGGCAACAGGCTGTAGCCATGCAGGAGGCTGCTGATAACAAAGGGGTGCCGCAGGCCAGCCTGCTGAGCTTCCAGGACAAGGAGGAAGAAACTGAACGTTTTCAATGTGAAGAAATCAAGTTATAGCAAAAGATAGTAAAAGTACTTAAGAAAGAATACAAAGAAGATCTTGAAAAATCAAACACTAAGTCAGAACTCAACTCACCAGCCAACATTGCAACATAAATGTGTTTTTAAAAAAAGGACAGAATGTTGGAATGGCAGCAGCCAGGCCCAGAGTAGCCAGGCACAAGGCAGTGGCAGCCGGGCCCAGAGCAGCAGAAGCCAGGCCCCAGAGCAGCAGCAGCCAGAACTAGAGCAGCAGCAGCCAGGCCTGGAGCAGCCAGACCTGGGGCAGTGGCAGCCAGGCCTGGGGCAGAGGTGGCCAAGCCCAGGGTGGCCAGGCCAGGAGCACCCAGGCCCGGAGTAGCCGGGCCTGGAGCATCCAGGTCAGGAGCAGCCAGGCCCAGAGCAGCAGCAACCAAACCCAGAGCAGCCAGGTCAGGAGCGGCCAGGCCCTGATCAGCCAGTCCCGGAGCAGCAGAAGCCAGGCCGTGAGTGGCCAGGCCCGGAGCAGCTGGGCCCAGATTAGCCGGGTCGGGAACAGCCAGGCCCAGAGCAGCAACAACCAAGCCCAGAGCAGCCAGGTCGGGAGTGGCCAGGCCCGGAGAAGCTGGTTGTGGAGCGGACCAGAGCAACCAGGTCGGGAGTGGCCAGGCCCTGAGCAACCAGGCCCAGAACAGCTCGCTCCTCGCCTGCCCCCACCCCAGGGCTGCCTCTCAGACATGGCTGGAAACTTTGGGGGAACTTGAGGGTCTGCTGAATCAAGTGATGTAGG